GCGCCAAAGCTTTGTGAGTCTCTCTCTCTTATTTCTTTTATGTGTTTTTTTGGCTCTAGGGTTTTGATCTTGTCTATCTTCTGCGAAACCCTTTCTCTCTCTTGTTCCAGATTCTATGAAAGGTTGGTTTTTTTTCTTTTTCTTTTTTGTTATCTCTCCCTCTCTCCCTATGTCTCTCTCACACACTCTCTTTCTATTACTCTTTCCTTCTGTTATCCTATTATTGGCTTTTTCAGTTCTAGGGTTTTGATTCTGTGATATTTTGTGAAGTGTTATCTCTTTCTGGTGTTCTAGATCTTGTGAGATTTTGGCTTTAATAGATTTTGTTTCTTTTTCTCATATACGTGGCAAAGATCTGGGTTCATTTATTTTGGTAGTGTGGAATTGGATAAATGAATCAAATATTGGGGCTTCAGCATGTCTTGGGAGTTTTCATGGATATAATTGGTTGTTTCTAGGCTAAAGCTGTCTCCTTTACGAGGATTTCTTCATTGCTTGGAATTAGGGTATTACTGCATAAAGATTTCAATTGTAGTGGAGAAAGTCCTGTGTAGACTGGTTATTTGTTTAGTTGTTTGATCAAGTTGTGTTGTGTTCTTTTGAGTTTAGATATGTGCACGCATTCCATGCTTTTGCGGTTATAATAATTGAAAAGTCAGCCTTCTGTTTTTACTGGCCCACTTTCCATGCACCATAGCTCTGAATGGAGATTATATTTGCCTGATTATTTTACCTGTTGTAGATCTAGTTGCTTCTTGTACAGGCTAGGATGCGATGCTGCCCATTTGCTAGTCCGGGTTGCATATGCTGATACACAAAGTTTTCTTTTGATATAGAGATTAAATGTGCATTACATTGGTATCTGGTATATTGTTTTGGAGTGGTTCTCGTGGATTCATGCATTTTTTGTAACTTGATTGCCTTTTTCTTCTTGGGTTGGGGGTTCTAGCATCTTAAGAGAATTTTTAGTGCCTTTTGGAGAACTTGTTGAGACAAAAGTGAAGAAAAGAAGGCTATGCAATTATTTTTTTGTTTTTCAATGACAACAAGAATTGAAGATCTTTCTAGAAAAAAATTTGAAAATGTTAGACTACAACGGTGTAGGTTTGTGAAATGTAATGTTGAATTTGTTCCCCTTTCTCTCAAAAAGAAAAAAATGTGTCCTTCTTCTTTTTATTCCCAATAATTAACTGTATTTCGCAGATTTGTAAACTACTATAAATATTTTTGAGGAGGCAGGAAAGTATAAGATGGTACAAATTTTGGTGAATGATAGGTGGAACAAGTGGGGAGAACTTTATGTAAAATTTGAGGGTTGGATGAAATTCTTTACAAATTTTGAGGGCTTGACAAGTGGTTAACCATCATTGAGTCCTGGCTAGTTCCTTCTTTTGCTATTATGCTTATACCAAATGAGAAAAATATTGAAGATCTTTTGATCAATTCCCCTCGTCCATGGAGTATTATGCTAGTGATTTGAGTTCTCCTCCCTCCAAACCAAATCAGTTCATTGATCAAGATTTGACTTTATCTCCATGGACGAGGGGAATTGATCAAAGATCTTCAATATTTTTCTCATTTGGTATGAGCATCCACTTCTTCATCTTGTTGGAGGCCTTGAGCTGGTATGTGGCAATTATAAATGATAGAAATCATGATAGATGGTGAAACATGTGAATATAAAATTATATATATTTTTCGTCAAAGCATGTGAAATTAAAAGTTGACAGCCTATTTTTTTAGAAAAATTAGAATTTAGAACGACTCAAATTCCATAGTTCATTTCATATCGATTTTTTTACTACTTGTGTATTTTCATCCATGTAACACATGAAGAACTCATCATCTGATCTGATTCCTTCCATAATCAAAATTCAGTATGAATTAGTGGAGGTCTAATCATATTTTAAATTGGTTTCATCTAGTTTTCCCTTCAAACTCAACATGCTCACCTCTTCTTTTACTGTTTGTCTCTGATTACCTCCTAACCTAACCTTTGTGGAGAAAGCCAAACTAGCACTTCTAATAGCAGGTATTCTTAAACTTGGGGAATATAATTTTGGCTTCTTTGATCGTCCATGGAGGCCTATGAATCTGGAGCGCCTATGAATCTGGAGCTGTACTCTTTAAGTCATGGTTTTAAGTTGAGTCATCTTACTCTTAGGGCTAAAGGTTTTATAACTCTGAACAATTCATTGATTCTACACCAATCAGGAACAACATGCATTAATATCGCTCACGGAACTCCTTTTATTCCTTGTACTTTATGCTTTGGGCATTTTGGTCTAAGCCTAATTTAGAAGCATGCCTATGTCAGATTCTGATTATTTTCTCTTGTTGCCCTTTTTTGCCTGAGATGTTTTTATCTTATGTATCGTAACTCTTTTTTTAAAAAAGGTTCTAGGTCCTTGATCGATTAATATTGGTGAAATCACCCTAGCATATCTTATGGTCACCTGAACCTTTTTTCGATTCTGTATCATATCTTTTTGTTACCACTGAATAGAAGCTGCTGTTGCTAATGACTGTTGGTCTTGTACTCAAGAATACAGCGTTCCCCTAGAATTTCAACTGGGTTTGTGTTGTAGAGGTTCATATTTGGGTATTTTGTCCCAAAGAAGATATATATAAAAAAAAAAAACAATGGGAGATTCATAGTTGGGTAGTAATTCCGTTTTAAGATAGATTTTGACTCATTTTTGGGTAATCACCTAAACATATTTGTGGGATGCCATGGGCACTTTTAATATATTTGAAGTTCACATTATTGCTTGTCTTTCTTCTTTTTTTTTCCCACCTGATTTCCTTCCCTTTTGTATTTTCCTTTGCTGTTACTTTGAGCTCATATGACATGATCTCTCAGGAGAAAATGTCAGATTTGCTTCTTTGTACAAGAGGGGTTTTCTTGATCTGGAATTTTTGGATCTGTTTTAGGGTCTGTCAAAAACTTGGTTGGCCTGTGTTAGGGTCCTAGGGCATGATTTTTCTTCAGGCACTTCTAGAGTGTGTATGATTTGTTATATTTATTCTGTTGTTGTTATTGTTGTTCTTGTTCTTGTTCTTATATTGTCATTTTGGGGTCTCATGTAACTATGCATAGAGACCAAAACATACTGGTCGGTTGTTGTCATTTGTTGTTCTTGTTCCTGTTCTCGTTATTGTATTGTTGTTTTGGGGGCTCATGTAACTATGCATAGAGATAAAAAAAGTACAGGTAAGTGTCCTGTCATGTTAGTCACTAGACATGGGTGCAAGTGGTGAGGATATGGTGGCTATATTTGTTTTCCTCTGTTACGAATCAAATCTGTATTTTCTGGAAGCAGAGGCATTATTTTAGATCTTGTGCTGCCTACTTTGTGTGGCCCTTTCCTCGTCTACAATCATCAAGGTATATTTGTATTTCTTAACCTAACCTGTTCAGAATAACGGATATGTTAAATTCATTTACATGCGTGCTACTTGGATGATGCATTGGCATAATCAAAATTAGGTGTTGCAGCTACTTGATTGGGGTGTTATCCATTTTTAAAACTTTGTTATGGAGCTAGTTTATTCCATATATGCTTCTTATCCATTTCATCTCAATAAAAATATTGGCTATTTTATTCTATATGTGCTTCTTACCTTTTTAATTGCTATAATAATATTGGCTATAGATTTAAAAATCTTAATGAAAATATCTTATTGTGCCCTTGCTGATCAAGGATGTGCCTGCAGTTAACTTAGATTTCCCTGGTTGAAAAGGTGCAGTAATGATACTGTCTTTGATATTCGATTAAATTTTGGTGAAATTTTAACCGTTAAGAGTGAAAATCTTGATGGAAGATTGTATTGTGCCTTGCCTTTTACTTGTCTAAAAGGAAATTTTCCTTTTGGGCCTTAAATGATTGGAGTTGGAACATCTGGTTAAAATGGTTCATTTATTGTAGTTCATCTGATGTCTCAACCAGTGCCCGCTGATCTGGTACATCTTTATTTTTGGAATATTTATGAGTTACAATGTAATTGTTGAGTTATTAGATTTTACCATCCAGCCACTTTTTTTTTTTGGTTTTATTAATTGACTTATTACTTTGGTCTTTCATTATCTTCATTGTTCAGTTTATCTTGTCTTACCGTGTAAGAACTTAGAAAGGAGTTGCTATCTGCCCCCATGTTTTTGCTATTCCCACCCAAATTTCGATGGAAGCGGAATTGTGCATGCCTGATAGCTGTTCTCCCATTTTGGGTGGAAATGGCAAGAATATGGATGAGCATTTTCTGTTCAAAATTTATCTGTGAATTTTCAATGGCTTCTCAACATGTCCAAAATAACCTGAAATGGGCTGTCTTGCTACATCTTCAGTCCTATTAATTCTATTAAATGTTACGTGATTTGCTTGTTTAAGTGTCGAAGACACAGTTAACATGATTCTCCCTCGAAGAATCTTGAAATTGAATTATTCCAATATTGTAATACCTTAACGCACCTTTGTGTTCTTTATGAGGCGTTGGATTCTACCTTTGTTCTTTCTAGCAAAGAATCATGAAACAATATTATTCTGAAACTCTGATACCTCTATTTGAAACTCCTGCATTTTTTTACGAGGTTTAGATTTTAACAGAATCAAACATATAATATTTTATTTCTTTCTTATTGAATTTGATTTGCATTACGAAGATGGTAGGATCAAAATCCCAAGTTCGTACTTGTACATGCAAATATTACATAAAGCCTTACCCAGATGGCCTCTGTTGGTCTCCATCTTGTTGTTTGTGTTTCAATGGTTACCATTTGTATGATAGCCAATTTACTGATTCCTGTTTTTAATGCTTAGATAATCGGATACTCCTTTCCAATGCATCTGTGCAGCATAAGTTGCAAAATGTAGTCCTTTTTTCACATTTTTTTGGTTTGATTCTTCTTTGCTTCGACTTATATGCGTATTTTATGGTAAATGGTGCTGAACAGACTTATATTTCAATATCAGGGTAATCATGCCTCGTTATGATGATCGTTATGGTAGTAGTACCCGCCTTTATGTAGGTCGACTGTCTTCTCGAACACGCTCACGTGATCTTGAAGACCTTTTCAGCAGATATGGAAGGTAATTTTGTGTTTTATCTTTTGAATATTGTATCTGATTTTGCTCATTATCCTAAATAGAAATTCTCAAAAGCCATGTCTCCTAGTTAGTTTATTTTCATTTGATAATAATTATTTTTTTAGAAACAATTAGAAACATATGCAGAAGTCTTATAAGCTGTATTCCTTTCTGGTGTATTTCTGCAATTTTTCATGCATTTATAGTCCTTTCATTCCATGATGCATGAGTCATAGGGGTGTCATGATCACCATGCTCAGTTGCAGTTGTTTACCCTGATTGGATCTCGTATTACCTCTACTAGTGGGAGCTTAGGTTATCTTCTATTTGATTGGTGCACCTATTATTGATTTTGGTCCAGCTTCCCTATTTTGACATTTATTCCCTTGCAACCATTCTTTGAATCCATATTTCATTGGTTAACATTTGAAACCACCAATCCTCCCTTGACATATTCTTCTCTTCTACTCATAGTTCGACTTGGTGGACCTCCAATTTTTTGCCCGTTGTCCAATTGCCCAGTTATGCTTATCACCTACTCTAGACACTGTACAGACTAGCAACCTCTCATTGTTTGCTGGTGGTGTGGTTGGTGGACGCATCAAGTCTGGAGATATTAAGGCCTCTGCCAAGCCAGACTCTGTGCTTTGGTTTTGGTTTTCTCTGTTAACGTTATCTCTGTGAGAAGGTTGCACCCCAGGTAGTTGTGTGTTTTAACTTGAATGATCTTGTTGAAGGTTTCTGGGCTTTTGCCTAACCTGGAGGTCTATGGTGAGAGGGTGCCCTTGGTGGAATTGGTGGCTATCTTTGCAGAGTTAATAGGAGACTTTGGCGCATTCTTTCTGTAATGTTATTGCGTATGTTTGTGGGAATGGCAACGATTACAAAGTGGTGTTTAATTCATCTTCTGAGGGGCGAAGTTTCATACCCTCCGGTACTTAAGTCATGATGGCCTTACTGTTTCTGGCAAACGTTTCCGCAGAGTACGAGATGTGGACTTGAAGCACGACTTCGCCTTCATTGTATGTTGCTCTCATCATCACCACTTTTGATTCTCGTGCCTTCTTTTCTCTTTATGTGATTATGGATCTTATTGTACTGGATGTTCTGTATGAGTTTTATGTCATTCTTCACAATACTTCGCAATAATGCCATGCAAATATGAGCTTTCTCTATGTTCTTCTCTTGTTTGTGTTCTTGGCTTTCAGGAATTCAGTGATCCCCGAGATGCAGATGATGCAAGATACAGCTTAAATGGAAGAGAGTTCGATGGAAGCAGAATCATTGTGGAATTTGCGAAAGGGGTAACTTTCTATCTTTTTATTGTGTTCTTTTCTTTTGTGAAGAAATGCATCTACATTCCACATGCATACTTGGTTCTTGCAATGATTTCAATTTGGTTTGGGAAGAAAATCACAATAGATTAAGATGACAACCCTTTTAACCAACCAACCTGAATTCATTTTTTATATTATGAACTGGAACAAAATGAAACTTAAGAATGTCAGATCCATGAACTTTAATTCGCAAAACATGATCCATCGATTTTAAAAGCTTCAATTTTTAGGAATCTGTGGTTTTAATTCATCAATTAAAATCCTTAGCCAAGGGTATATACACTCTTTATAATCAAAAGATGGAACTAAATGATCTCCTCTGTAGTCCAAAATACTGAATCAATGACAGATTTAAATTTGTGGTGTTTTGTGGTGTTTTCTGTACTTTGTTTGGTCTAATGAAGGAAAGGTTGCCAAAAATTTCTCAACTAAAAATTAATTCACAGGAGTGTTGTATCCCTTTGCAGCTATAAGCTTGGATAATTTCTCATATTTGATTATCCAATATGAGCAAGTTCGATCCCTTATCCTTTTCCTCTGTTGTACCCAGTTTCTATTTTGGAAAAATGTTGTCTTATTTGTGCTTGTGTTTTTTTTCATTTTGTACTCTGTCTTTTCCTTGATGATTTTTTATGTCTTCCTAGGTGTTCTGTCATGAGTTTTTGTTTGTTTTTTTAAATTATTCCTCAGTTATCTGTTGGATTCCTTCAATTTCATTTTGTCTACTGCTGTGAACATTTATTTAATGATGGAGGCTGTATATACCCTTGTGAGTTTTGGTCTTACAGAGGACACTCATTTAAAAGTTTAATCAAAGACAATGAGGTCTTCTTTTTCCCCACTTCAATCCATACAGTATACTGTGTTCTTCTAACAAGTTGTTTTTGATGTGTTCTAATAGGCTGTTTTTTATGCGATATGGAATACCAGTGCATCTGGGTAGGCATGTACCTACCATTGGGCTGAGTTGATTTTGATTCAACATAGGATCAGAATTTATGAAATACTAGCTGCCAACATAACATAGACCATCCCCCTTTCTCCGGGCTTGGGGCCAGCCATGACAGAGTTTCATGTTTGATTCAGTGATTCCCCAAAAAAAAAAAAAAAATTTTGGATTTGGCGGTCTGACACTTTGTCTCAGATACTAGGGGTGCTTGTAATTAGAGTTTAAAAAGTCAGACCCTATTTGAGTTGCCCTGCTCAATTTTTGTTGGTGCGGCTCTGACTGAATTAGTTAGTCAATGCTTATGAATTCTGCCTAGGTTGAGTCATGTTCTAGTCAATAACAGCGTTCTTGTGGTAGTAAAATTGTGAGGGGATCCCGAGGTGGTGAACTTCCATCTCTATTGTTTTAATCCTTTTAGTGGTCATTTATTACGCTAACGTGAGATCTTGGGTAAAGTTGACAATCAGCCCTGACTAAGCTGTGTAATTTAATTGACACCGTATATGTTGAGAAAAGACCTAGCAGAAGTTGGTGGTCTTTACCTCTTTATGTCATAGTAATGTGTCCCTTTTCTGAACCATGACATAGGACCTACCCACATTCTATATGGCCTAGATTATAATCTTTTCTCTCTGTTTTGGATAAGATCAAGGAAAGATGCATCTCCCAAACTGAGTCTGTGTCACTTTCTTGCTGAGTGTTTTTTTGCCTTTCCCAAACTGAGTACTTGTTTCATCAATAACATTATAATATTGTGTTTAGGGACCACGTGGAGCTGGAGGATCTCGAGAATACTTGGGCAGGGGTCCACCTCCAGGTTCAGGCCGTTGCTTCAATTGTGGGATCGATGGCCATTGGGCTCGAGACTGCAAAGCTGGGGACTGGAAAAACAAGTGCTATCGCTGTGGAGAAAGAGGCCATATTGAAAGAAACTGCCAAAACAGCCCCAAGAGCCTGAAGTACCCAAAAAAAACACTCTTCTTTGTGTTCCCTATTGACATCTTCACCTTTTTTTTGAAGTGTGAGATATCTTTCAGATTCCTGTGTTTATTCGATATTTTTTACTAATAAATAATTGCTAAATGTGCAGGCGTGGGCGGAGTTATTCCCGTTCTCCATCGAGATCCCGTTCTCATGGCCGTGGAAGGAGCCGTAGCCGAAGTTACAGCAGAAGCCGCAGTTACAGGTAACATTTGTGGCCAATCCATTGATTTAATGTTAAAGTGGATTTTCTCAAAAAAGAAATTGAATGTTAAGTGGAAAAATTTATGGCTGCTGTTTCTATGATTAATTTGTAACAAATTTCTCTGTGATTTTTGTGTTAATTTCCTTGATATTGAGAAATTTCCCTGCATAGAATATGTTTGTTTCCGTACAATTCTTTTGGAATTATCTGATGCTGAATTTAAATCTATATATCCAAACTAATGCCGACCCCAATTAATTGGGAGAAGGCTATGATGATGATGATGATGATATCCAAACTAAGCCATAAATTTATAAAAATCATTGAGGAAAAAGAGTCCAAAAAGCATTTTAGCTTTTGGATACGTAATTTTAAAGAAAATGGGAAACCTATTTCCCTTGGGACTTTTCCCTAAAGCAAAACACCTGGCCTTGTGTCATCACTGTCCATTGAGATTGTCTCAATGTATAGTGATGGAGGTAGCATGGGGCTCATCATTGTCCCTTCAACACCATCCTTTTTTAAGGAAGACTGTTTACCCTAAGGACTACTGTAAAATGGTCCTCTCATTGTCCTTGCATCACATTGTACTTCCCTTTTCCCTTTTCTCTCCTTTCGAATGCCTTTCATTTGTCTGCTCTTGATATTACGCTTGAAATGTTTCTGAAAGAACTACAGAAACTTCTGAAATTTAGAGGGAGAGAGAGAGCAATGTGGAGTGGCCCCTGATACTTGTGTCTTCATTTATCAGTCGCTCACGGTCACCTCCAAAGAGGGGGTCTGGACGCAGCCTAGAGAGAGAGGACCGATCTCGGAGCCCGAAGTACAGCCGCAGCCCTCGCACCAAAGGCAGTCCCGTAAAGAGCAGGAAGCAGCAGAGCCCTACTCCTGATAGACAAAGGAGCCCCAGCCCAACAGGTAGCAGTCCTCGAGAGAGGGGCAGCCCTATCCCAAGAGAGAGAAAGCAAGAAGCCTCTGACTATAGTGGGAGCCCTAGAAACAGCAGGAGCCCCATTAGCCCAGAGAGAGAGAGCCCTAGGAGGTACAGAAGCCCTGAGACAAATGGCAGGAATGGAAGGAGCTCGAGCCCTATGAGAGATGATGATGTAAGCCCAGTTGATCGAGATGCCTCTCCCCCACCACGGGGTGGCAGCGAGAGCCCCTCGAGCCCGTAAGTATGCCAACCTTAGACGCACAAGAGGTTATGCATAAACATTGCTATGTTTCCTTGAGTTCTCTTATAATGTGTTAGTTCAAGAGTTAGTAGATGCCTACATTGAATGGAACTTAAAACACTTTTTGGCATGTGTTGGAAACTTGACTGTTTAGATTTTAGAAAGACAGGTATTGAGGTTTGTATGTTTGATTGAGTTGTCCATCCTTGCGGTACAATGTTGAAATTTTTGGTTGTGACATGCTATTATATTACCTTTATATTTGTTTTTTAAGTTCAGAGCTTAGTTTGACCCACTGGTTCGGTTCTCGAGGTCATAATCATCCAATGAATGATATACCACTGTTTCTTATACAGGAATGCACTTGGTAAGTGCATGGCATCATGCGAAGGTTGGTGGAAACCTCAAGCCAAAAGATATTAGTATATTATGCTTCCACGGGAGTTTACTGTCCATTTACTCACTCGGCTGAAACCCCATCTGAAACCCCACCGAGGATTAGTTTTACGACCTTAAATTTCAGTCCTCTGACTGAGAGTATATGTACACTATTCTCCTGCAGGTGCACAGTATATGTGCCCAAATCTGAACATGGAAAATTCATGGTCATATCATAGTCCTTGGGTGTTGGTGTCATATTTGAATAGACAAATAAATTGGGACCCTCGAGGATATGATCCCAATGATAGGTTTGATACCCTCATATCACCAACAAATCTCCCAATGGGGAATTGGCTGAGAGAATTGGCCTAATGGACTGCTTTTTCCAATGTAATGTGGAGAAGTAAGGTCAAAAAGTTCTAACGTGTATAAGTAAGGTAAAAAAGAGAATCCGCCTAAGAATCAATAAAGTAATAATTTATAGTGAGAATCTAACGTAGTTTTTGGTAATCTTAAAATTCTAGGTTTAATGTGGTAATAATAAGTTGAAAGTGTGACTGTTTGATTAAGACTATATAAATCTAATCACCTGTTTTAAAGAAATCTATATAGTGGTGGAGAGGTAAGTAGGTTGAGTTAAGCTCTTAATGATGTCTTTGATTTGTATAAGTTGGAGTGTTCTAAATATGAGTGCACTCTATAAACAGACACCTATAGTAGTATGAAAGCAAGGCCGTTTCATATGAAATCGGAATTGTCTCTAGACCATTTATGAAATTGGGACAAACATGAGGCTCAAAATGTTCTGATAGCATTGGAGATTTATATATTATTTGTGTGTGATACTAACAATTTATTGAATAAGGAACACATTTCAAAGCTATACGATACCATTAAACTTGATGGATTTTGTAGTTTATACTCTTCAAGTAAAGGTTTAAATTGAAAGAGACTTTATGGGATGTTATTTTCAATGGAGGAAATTTTAGTATTTTTAAGTTTTGAAAATATGTATTGCAAAATAATGTAGTCTCAAATATTATTTTGATAAGCTTTTTAATTAAAAGAGAGTGGTGGGTTTTAGTCAAATAGAGTAAAAAAAGAGTGATTTATATAGGAACACTTTCATGCCTTGTATCCATCGAATAAGGAGAGAATGGATGTATATGCACCATTGGGTTATGAAAGTCACATTTCACTCTATAAAATGGGTTCACCTTCATGAACATTGAATTTATCCTATTTCCTTGTTTACTTACTTTCATGGTATTGAATTTTATCAATAGGGGGGCAAATTACCGTCCTAAAAGTGCTTTCGTAGTCCTTAAATCCTCTACAACTGAACCCATCCATTTCCAATAACTTTTCCTTATTTTTTGCTCGATCAAAATATGGGAAATAGTTTAAAGTGAAGCACTAGGGTTGAGAAGCTTTCAACTTTCGAGGTGACCAAGCATAAAGAGAGGAGAAGAACAAGTGAGTGCTCAAGAAAAAGAGCACAGCAGAAAGAGGAGGCAAAGCAAATAAAAAAAAAAAAAAATTGCATGACTAAAATACTTTTATGATTTGCGGTTTTATAGAGGAAATGAGTCGAGAAAGAATTTCAGACAAACACGTATGACATGTGGTAGCTATGATTATCACCATTCTCCATCACTGGATTGGACAGTGATAGATTCACTAATGGGATCGTAAGTCACTAATTTATATCCATCACCATCCAATAAATTGATCACTAGTCAATCAATTGATTGGATGACCACATGGTCATCGTACCATGACCATATGGGAGCATTCATTTTTCTTTGGCCATGCGCTGGATCCAAAGCTACTTAATTCTACTCGGCCGAATATCAGTAAAGGCCCTAGTTTGATTTCCATTTCTAATGCATATTATTTGGAATTGATCTTTTCTAGTTTCACCAAAAAAAATAAATGGTTTGTATGCCATAAGACCGATCACTTTTGGTACGTGGATATCGCAATTAGTTTTTAACTATTGGATGTCAAATTTGACAAATTGAAATATGTCACAATATTCAAAAAAAATATTTTGAACTTTATGCCTAATCAATGATAAATCTTCAACCACCTGATTTATCTAACAATCAATAATAATTGTGATCTTTTTAAAAAAATATAAAATAAATAATCTCTATACATTTTTATAAAAAATAAATAAATAAATAAATGCATGACATTGTGTACATGCATAGTGTTGGTAAGGGCCATTTCCGACGCTGCTACAAATCTCCATCGCATGCCATGTATCACCACTTTATGGGTTCATTTGTCCAGTAGAAAGCGCTTTTCATCATCTTGGGAAAGTTTTCTTACCAAAAGATGAGAAAGCGCCTCTCTTAGATGCTACATGAACGTCTAATTTCCCGTAAATTAAACATCTTCTGAGAAAGGGCATTCTCATAAAATGTTTCTCGAAAAGAAATATGCCTTGTGATAAAAGGAAAATAATTTGATAGGGCCCAAAAGAAATATGCCTTGTGATAAAAGGAAAATAGTTTGATAGGGCTGCAGCCCTATCAAAATTAGCAAAGCCTCACCTCATAACTCGTCAAAAACCGTAATTCAAGTGTTGAAAAATATTTAAATAGTATGGTCGTTAAAAAAAAAGGATTTGAAATTCTAAAAATAATATATACTGTAACCAATCATCTAGACTGTCCATTTCACCCTAAAAATAAGTATTCACATATCCACAAGATCTATACAATTTTTTTAATTTCAAATATCATTGTCAGTGTTGAAAATTGATTTTAGAGGCATCATGGAAAATTTCAATACCAAAAGCACTTTTCGAACGAGGATTTGAGGTGAGGTTTTATTTTGCTTTCATAAAGCCTAGGCTCTATAGAAACTTCATCTGTGATAAAAATAGGAAATGACATAATTCACCACAACGAGATGAATACAATAAGATCATTTACTTTTGACATGAACATATCATAATCACTATTAACCATTAAATATGAATCGGATGGTTGGGGATGTGTCACTAATTGAGCACAAAGTCCAAAATTAAAATTGTTTAGAAGTTGTGACTCACTTCAAAATATACCAAAGATAAATGATCATGCCTATGACCATCTTGTACCAAAGATAAATGATGAATAATACACGATCGCATTAGACATTGCTTTTTTACATAAATAAAAATAACAGCTCCCTCGAGTAGCTTCATCAGCCAAACAAGCTGTACTATTCCAAAAAGAGTTTGTGTTTGGGGAAAGTGTGGTCATCGCCCATGATATCACTCGCGAATGATTTAAATTTTATTAATTTAGAGAATGTTTTTTAATCCAAAGCAAAGTTTATTGCTCTGTTTCATATAAGATCATTTATTATTTTTAGAGAATGCCTCTCTTTTTTTTATTCAAAGCAAGGGTCTGTTTGATAAGAAAATTTGAAAAACAATTTGATCGACTTTTGATCAATTGATACGTTGTGTGTGGTGTTTCACTGGTTCTCAATTCCGATAGAATATGCTCCGATGGGAGTTTAATGTTCATCTGCTGGTCGGAAAACCTACTTGCGAGGGTTTTTTCAATTTGTAACTAAAAGAAGCACCAACAATCACTAGATGATTATTTTAAAAAGATAAGATTTGAATTTAGAGTTTTTAACACTTAGATCTCACTATTTAAAAGTTGGATGATCCCTAATCATTAGAGGGTGCACTTAAGAAATTCTTTTTTATCGTGGTTAATCCGTGGGTTGAAGCTGTTTCATCTCCGTGGGTTGAAGCTGTTTCATCTCCAACTTTAAGGTCCTAAAATTGATCCTAGACTGGGTTTCACTTAAGGAGTAAATTGTTAGTATAACAACTATTTAAAAGTTGGATGATCCCTAATCATTAGAGGGTGCACTTAAGAAATTCTTTCTTATCGAGGTTAATCCGTGGCTTGAAGCTGTTTCATCTCCAACTTTAGGGTCCTAAAATTGATCCTAGACTAGGTTTCACTTAAGGAGTAAATTGTTAGTATAACAAGGTTTTGTTAGGGTACTCTTACACATAGAGTATATCCTTATATACTCCATATGTTTTCACTCATTACCCTTACTCAGTAAGTACTAACTTTTCTATCTAGGGGTATTTTAGATAATTATTTAAAGGGAAAAGTTTATATAAGGTCGCAACCTTAAAATGTAGAATCATTTATGCACCTCAAAAATCTACCGGAAAGGTTGTTTTAATGTTGAAAAACGCTCTAATTGATCATCTCGATATCAAGATGTATGAATATTTAAAAAAAAAAAATTTGAGGCCCCAAAATAGTGCATCTTGCAACACACCATCTAAACCGTCCATTTTTATGATTTTCATATGTTTATAGATCTACTTGATTTTAACCATTTTTGGAGTTTAAAATTTTCTAATTAGATATGAAAATAGGTTTTAAGATAATCCTATAAATGTTTTACAACAAAATTATATGTTATGATAAAATTTAGAGATGCGCCTTAATTGGATTGCTTAAGGTTGCAACCTTATATAAACCGCACCCTTATTTAAAAGTAAAGTACTCATTTTTTATAGAAATAGAAATATTAGAAAAATATCTCTATACCCTCTATTTTTAGGTTTCATAACTCAATCGAGACAAAATTTCAAAAGATAACAACTTTTGGTGCAAGGTTTATCAATCATACTTGACTGGATAAGCTAAGCTACTTTGGATCAATTTAGTTTGATTGAGGATAAAGAAGAAGAAGTAGTAGGAGAGGTGAAAGGGGAGAAGATGGAAAGGGTGTAGAAAGATAAACTCTCAAGATACCTTATAAAGTATACAGGTTTGGGGTTTTTGGACATTTGACGAGGGTTCTCAAATTGGCGATGATAAGAGGAATAGGATTCTTGGATATTTGAGATGGCTTGACGAGGGGATATGTTTGACTTCATAGGGTTCAAAATCTGGTGGCTTCAGAAAACCGTATCTGCCAAGTTGGTTCAGCAAAATTGCAGAAATCAGGTGGATTCATTGCTGAAAAAATGAGATTCAACAAGATTTTGGTGATTGGCTTGGGGTATCGATCAGAAGAGCTGCAATCTTAAATTTTCTTTTCAAAACATTGGGAGAAGGAAGAAGAATCTAGGTTTTTCCAGTGAATGAGGATGCAAGGATAGATTATTTTTGTAAGGAAGTGAAAAATGGCGAGGGTTACTGAGAGGTTAAGCATGGAAGTGGAGGATGTTGGTGATGATGTAGATGATGGGTACAGGAAGGTGGTGGATCACCCTCATGGCATCTTTGAGAAAGATGAAGTTCTCGACTCTGTAAGAAGAACTTCAAAGATGGTGGTGGGGTCTTTCTCACCACCATCTAATGACTATTTTAGCCTTGGTGACTGGGCTAGGAGGGCCTGGAGTTTGTCGTACGAATCTGTAGTCAGGAAAATGGAGGACAACCGTTGTGTCTTTATCTTAGCATCTTTTGACCATATTTGGAAAGCTATGCAGGTTCCAATACG